TCGGGACAGATTTAGAGAAATGTAGCATTGCATCACTTGTACACCAATGGATCCTCTGCAGTGAATGGGTGCCGTCAGAATGAGAGTCCAAACAGCTGATAAAAACATCACAGTAATACACAAGTAATCCATACCACTCCATCAGTTAACATCTTATGAAATTAAAAGCTGTGTGTTTGTAAGAAACAAATACATCAGAATATTTAAACCATCGCTTCTGGCCAAAATACGAGTTCATAATCTATATTAACGCTTCCTATCAGCTGTTTGGACTCTCATTCTGACATTCACTGCAGAGGATCCACTGGTGAGCTTGTGATGTAATGCTACATTTCTCCAAATCTGTTCTGATGAAGAAACAAACTCCTCTACATCCTGGGTGGGCTAAGTATGAATAAATTACTTTCAACTATTCCTTTAAATACTAGTATACTATTTACTGTGCGGTACACACTAAATACCCTGAAAATTGGATTGTGGAATATATTATTCTAAACTATACACTGCATATTTTAGCAAATGCATTCATGCATTGTTTCATACATACTGTCCTGCTGAATTAGTAGCTGAGCGTAGTACTAGTATTGCGAACATAGCCTGAGTTTTGAATACTTCTATAAGTCAACAAGGGCTGCATGAGAGTATAGATCTTATGATGATGGTTAGTGTTCGTCTAATGATCGAGCTGGATGAGGTATCTAGTTTGACTCAAGCCATTATTGAAAGCACGTAAATCATTCAAATCTAGGCTTTTATCTCCTTTTGTCATATGGTTTTACACGGAGGCTGCCAAAGAATATAAAACGGCTGAATATTAGCATATTATAAAGTGCTATTGGTGTAAATTGGTACATGTATATTATGTTTCTCTATAAAGAACATTTAATCTTCGTGTCATTCAGTGTCATACTCATGGGTCAGATTTGTGTTTGATGGTGTAAGTTGTATAGGGGGAACTATGGTGCTGTTTAAACTTTTAACCCTCTACAGCGTGGATGGAAGATGTGTATTGCAGGCCGAAAGAAAAAGGGAAAAAATAGAGATTCGCTCTTGCTCCAACACCTTACTCTGGATGAATCTAATATTTTTATGATCTCCTGAGTCGCTATCCGTTTCTGTCAGCCTGCATCTAAATATCATTGTGGATTTTAAGGAGTTTGTGTGTTTTCAAGTAGGCCTATGTTTTGACTCTTTTCTCGGAGAAGAACATTCAGGGTTTAGGCTGATCTCTTCTGTTATTTTATTTACTTTGTTTTGTTTCTAAAATGTTAGAGATGTATTTGAGTATACGAAAGCTTTATTTATGCATGTTTTGTTATTGGCATGATCGGAACGTTTTGGAACGCTTACTTAAGCGATGATTTGTCTTTTTATACATTATTACAAGTATTACTCTTAGAAATATTAAATTCACAACTTTTTATTCATTTTTATTGACTGTATATCTGCGTTTTGGGTGTTTTTGTTTTTTAGATACAGTATATGTAAAGTGTGGTCTTTTGTGCTGTCCTACTTCAAATAAAGGCAAAATGTCTGAACCATTATAATACACGTTCTTCAGTGTCACTTCATTTTATTCACACAAATGGACAATATATTAAACATGTCTTCTCTTACTACAAGCACGCCTATGTAAGGTTTGTGTTATGTAGATGTGCATTGTGAAAAACACACTTTCTGGGGTCTGTTAGTCACAAATTTGCATCTCATTACTGAAGACGTCATTAATCCTGAAAATGCATAATCTGCTTACTTGCTACAAGACTCATTCGTCTTGTTCTTCTCACGAATCCTCCATAATATGGACAGATCTGTAATTTGTCGATAATTCTTGTACATATCCATGCTCTTTTCCAACATATTTTCATTCTGTTTTCTAGAATGTGTATGACACCAGCTATGCAGTTTCTGAATGAAATTCAGTTCAAGTAAAGCATCATGTTCATGTGACACAAACAGTCAAGTAGAACTATGGATTACTGCTCTATTTTACTTTATGTTTACCAAAATATTTGGTAGCTTTGAATAATTTCTTTTAAATGTAAAAAAGTTTAAAAACTGAATTATTTTTTGAATGATTTCATTTTGTTTTGTTTTAAAGGAATAGTTCACCCAAAATGAAAATATGCTGCAATTATAGAGTCGTCATATTTTAGCCGGAACCCATGATTTTATGTTACAAATGTCTCATTCTGACGGCACCCATTCACTGCAGAGGATCCATTGGTGAGCAAGTTTTCTCCAAACCTGGTCCTATGAAGAAACAAATTAATCTACATCTTGGATGGTGAGTACATTTTCAGATGTTTCAATTTTGGGGTGAACTATTCCTTTAAAAGATACCAAATATGTTGGTAATTTATTATTTGGGGTAGTAATTACGAGCATAAAATGATAGTGATTGTCATTCATTTGTCAGTATGTTCAATACAGCCTTAGTTAGAGAGCACAGATACAGAAACACACGAGACTATGAAATTGCTTTATAGCAACGCTTTCCCTTTAAATTTCCTGACCCACTTTCTGCAGGCGCATTCATGAGAGGCATAATTGAGACTGGGAGGTGCATGTGAGGAGAATGTCTAATGACAGGCTTGTGCTCTGGCTCTGCACCCTCCAGATGTGCAACACAATCCATTCAAATGCCATTTAGCTCAATCAACAATCTAGACTGAAAGGGTATCAGGGTTTCTATGCAAGTAAACGAGCCATTAGGTCTAATTTGATTGTCATCAGTGCTGTTGTCAACCATTATAGCATCATATTAAGATGTGAAGTAGCCCAGTTTAACTCTCTTCAGCTAATGTATTCTCTAAATAAAGCACTGGTCAGCATGCTCATCCTCCCTCTTTGTTTTCCTACAGAAATCTATGTTGCTCTTTTCCTGCAGTGTTGTCCTCTTTGCATGTCTTTTTCTTTCACCCTGCTCTTGTCTCATTCGTTTCTCTAACCCTCTCATATCTATCATGCATTATTAGAGGACAGGAGAAGACAGTACTGTAGCATCTGCCGTATCCGGCAATGCAATCAGTGATTCACCACGCGAGGAAGATTAAAATGCCACATGCAGTGGAATTTAAAATACACATTCCTCTCTGAATTTCCCAGAACCATCATGAAGACAGAATATTCATTCATGCATTTGTACATTTCCGAAAACTGTCCCAAAGAAAGAAAAAAAAAACATTCATTCATTGATCAAAACAAGCTGTTACATGAATCATTAAAAATGAATCGATTTATAATGAATGAGCTTCTTTCTTTGGCAGTTTAATGCAGTTTTCAGTTGTTCAGCAAAAATGATTGTGATGATTATAATATATGATATGTTTATATGTATGGTTATATGTGACCCTGGACCACAAAACCAGTCAGAAGAGTCAGTTTTTATACATCATCAGATTTATACATCATATGAAAGCTGAATAAATAAGCTTTCCGCTGATGTATGGTTTGTTAGGATAGGACAATATTTGGCTGAGATACAACTATTTGAAAATCTGGAATCTGAGGATGCAAAAAAAATCAAAATACTGAGAAAATCGCCTTTAAAATTGTCCAAATGAAGTTCTTAGCAATGCATATTACTCATCAAAAATTAAGTTTTGATATATTTACGGTAGAAAATTTACAAAATATCTTCATGGAACATGATCTTTACTTAATATCCTAATGATTTGGCATAAAAGAAAAATGGATCATTTTGACCCATACAATGTTTTTTTGGTTATTGCTACAAATATACCCCAGCGACTTAAGACTGGTTTTGTGCTCCAGGGTCACATATATGATTATATATGTATATATGTGTGATTATCACACTTACTCTATCCAGCGCAGGTATCCATGAGTGCTGTTATTGCTGGATTAAGAAAAACCATACCACTGTGAGTGTGATATTGCTTTTATACAACAAACAGTTCAATAAAAAAACTAATACTGAATAACTGTCAGTCCTGTGTCTTGTGTTTTCCTCCCCCATGTGCTCCATGTTCATTTTATGCCCATGTTTGGTTTCCTTCCTGTTCCTGTCCTGATTGATTGTTCATTTGATCCCAGGTGTGTTTCCCTAATTACCCCAGGTATTTAAGTTCGAGTCTGTGCAGTCTGTCTTTGTCCGGAATTGTACGTCTACCCCTCGTCCTACGTGTGAGTTCCTGCCTGTTCCGTGTGTGCTCCAGTATTTGGAAGAATAAAGACTATTGAATGTTAATCCTCTTCGTCTCCTCATCTCCGCCACAGTAGGCGAAGCGTGACAATAACATTGTTACCATTTAAACTGCAAACTAAATGAAAATAAAATAGTTCCAAATGAAGCAACAACATAATCGTTATGCCTCTGCAACACAAATTAATCAGTGTTTTGAAAGAATCGGTTGAGTAAGTGATTCAATGACTCACTCATAAAAAGTCACTTGTTTCGTTCCTGATTGAATCAGCGTTTTGAATGGATCTTTTTTAAATGAATGAATCAATGAAGTCAATGACTGAGTGAGAAACAAGCAACTACGCATTAGTTGCTAGTTTCTCACTGACTCTGTGGCGGCGAAAGGGACTCAGTGACCAGAAGGTGGCGAAAAGTGGCTGTCTTTATGAGTCATTGATTCATTGTTCTGCGTTGAAGAAAATTACTATTGATAAACTGTTGCATTCTGGGATAATCAAAAGAACAGTAGTCCAATAAACCTTCACCCACCATCTTATCTGAAGATACACAGAAACTTAGACATGTGTTTCAAGATCTAAGCAAGGCACTCTCATTTAAATTGAATTTAGTTTTAAAATAATAATGATAATAATAATTTAAATAGATAACGTGTGACTGTTAACCACAGACTCTACTCGTGTTTTATTTTTGAAGAAAATCTTACTTGTAGAGGCCGATAGATTTTGAGCAACGGATGCAGACTTGTGTTTTTACTGGTTAATATTTAACTTGCCCACTTTGACCTAGATCTGTGGAGCAACGCCGGGCCTGAAAGCACTTCAGGAACACGCATACAATCACACTGCTGTCACGTGACCATGAGCGTCTGCGTGTGTATGGTGTGAGTGTACTGTAATTGGTTTATTTCACTCCAGTAAACACAGTCTTTCTCTAGAGACATGTAAGTACTGGAATACCTCTAGTGCTATCAGACTCCATTCACTTTATAGCCATTACAGCAGCCTTCAGTTCCAGCAGCACTACTACACTTGTACTTCTGCTACTATTATTAGACTATCACTGTAGCTGCTGAAATCCTTCTGTTCCACTACTACTACTACTACTAAGCACAAATTACTGCTTCAAGGTATGGGTGTTTTTTTACCCATGTTTAAAAAAAAAATTTAATAGAGATTTCTACTTTTTTATTTTTGTTATATGAAAGTCACACTTCAGCTGTCATTTATTTTGCTCCTTCTCTTAAAAAAAGGAGATTTTTATAATTTCACCCTTGTCCCAGACCCAGACTTTCAGTAAACTATGAAGATCTATCAGTACAGTTTTATAGATTAAAGCAGGGGTCTCCAAACTCAGTCCTGGAGGGCCGGTGTCCTGCAGAGTTTAGCTCCAACTTGCCTCAACACACCTGCCTGGAAGTTTCAAGTGTACCTAGTAAGAGCTTGATTAGCTGGTTCAGGTGTGTTTAATTAGGGTTGGAGCTAAACTCTGCAGGACACCGGCCCTCCAGGTCCGAGTTTGGTGACCCCTGGATTAAAAACGATATAACTGTGCTGTAATATCTGCCCCACCCAACAATTTTACCCCTAATAAAGTGTTTCTAGCCTTAGCAAGACAAAGGAGACTGATATTTTATTTCAAAAGTAATTACAATTCGTTTGAAATCTTTCCAATTTTAAAATCATTTCCACCAGGGTTATTATCTTGACAAAATGACAAAAACACACAACAAAATTGCTAAAACTTGAAATAAAATGAAAATGAAAATATCAAATATAAGAATTAACCATCGAACCCTATAAAGCACAATGCATCATTTTGTGGTGGAAATGACTTTCAAAAAAAGAGACTTAATTCTCCTTTGATCATGTATTGTGTGTCCACCGTTAGACTGTTATAGTGGGAACACAAAAATTGTATTTTGTTTTCTATATTTTATTTTCTAAAAGTCCAAATGGTCAACAGTGCACATAGTTGAAGAAACTTGACACTGAACCGATGACCTTGTGTTTCTATAGTCCAATGGACTTGGCAAAGTACAGGTACATCTCAATAAATTAGAATGTCGTGGAAAAGTTCATTTATTTCAGTAATTCAACTCAAATTGTGAAACTCGTGTAATAAATAAATTCAATGCACACAGACTGAAGTAGTTTAAGTCTTTGGTTCTTTTAATTGTGATGATTTTGGCTCACATTTAACAAAAACCCACCAATTCACTATCTCAACAAATTAGAATACTTCATAAGGCCAATAAAAAAAAAATTTTTAGTGAATTGTGGGCATTCTGGAAAGTATGTTCATTTACTGTACATGTACTCAATACTTGGTAGGGGCTCCTTTTGCTTTAATTACTGCCTCAATTCGGCATGGCATGGAGGTGATCAGTTTGTGGCACTGCTGAGGTGGTATGGAAGCCCAGGTTTCTTTGACAGTGGCCTTCAGCTCATCTGCATTTTTCATCTACATTTTCATCCTGCATTTCTCGTCTCTTGTTTCTCATTTTCCTCTTGACAATACCCCATACTAATTTGTTGAGATAGTGAATTGGTGGGTTTTTGTTAAATGTGAGCCAAAATCATCACAATTAAAAGAACCAAAGACTTAAACTACTTCAGTCTGTGTGCACTGAATTTATTTATTACACGAGTTTCACAATTTGAGTTGAATTACTGAAATAAATGAACTTTTCCACGACATTCTAATTTATTGAGATGCACCTGTATCAGTGCTACAATAACATGACTATAAAGTGGCAATGAAGAGTATTTTCTATTCAATTATGAGGAAACTATATGGTTTAGGGATTAAAAATAGACCTTTTACATTTAACTTGCAAAGTAGCTCATGCTAGATTAGAGTACTAAGAGTGCCTCATGTCTTGCTTTTTACTGATCATTTTAAATATTTTTAGATGTTCATAATATGAAAATAGTTTTTACTTCTTCTCTTACTTTCGTATTGGGTTCAGTAAGGTTGCATATTTCCCTCTTAGAGTGATGCTGAGATTGGAAAGCATGAAATGGTTGTGATATGGATGTGTGATGCTGAAATCTGACTAGGCAGAAATTCGTCTCCCTTTTCAAACAGAACTGGGAGTTAGACACGCTTGTTATCCTCACATTGAAATGTAATCATCGCAAATGAGTTTCTGAGATCTTCAGCGTCAAGTTCAAGGCTGAATCAGTAAACGGTAAAAATAACATCATGTTTTGAAATGTTCATTGTTTTCTAGAATGTCAGAGATTAATTGCATTTCAGATCTTGTATATTTCAGATCTTTAAAAATAACATTATAAACAAATTATAAAACAGCTGATAGAAACATCACAATAATCCACAAGTAATCCACACCACTCCAGTCCACCAATTAACATGCCGAACTGAAAAGCTGCATGTTTATAAGAAACAAATATATCAAGACATTTTTTTACTTCAATCCGGCTAAATATGAGTTCTTTATCATAATTTTGATTTGTCCAGTGAAAAAGTTGTCTAGTCTGAATCAGGAGAGAAATATGCGCAGATCAAGCACCATTTACAAGCCAAAACAGTTCTAAACAAATACGTGAGTGGATTTTGATGTGAGAGGACAGCAGGGGATGGACTTTCTCACTAGAGGAAATATTATTATGGATTATGGACTCTGCCATGTTGGCCAGAAGCAATGATTTAAAGTTAAAACGTGATTTATTTCTTACAAACATGCAGATTTTCGCTTCATTGATGGACTGGAGTGGTGTGATTTGCTTGTGGATTATTGTGATGTTTTTATCAGCTGTTTGGAGTCTCATTCTGACGGCACCCATTCACTGCTGAGGATCCACTGGTGAGCAAGTGATGTAATGATACATTTTTCCAAATCTGTTCCAATGATATAACATACTCATTTACATCTTGGATGGCCTTTGGGTAAGTCCATTTTCTGAACAATTTTTGGGTGAACTATTCCTATATGTGCATTTTAATGGCATACACTGATCTGATTGGTTTATACAGGTCAGATACGCTAGAGTGGTCACAGATGCTATTGTAAAGCAGATTAACAGCTTTTAAAAACATGCAAGTAAACATGTGCCTTTGTGTGTGTGTGTGTGTGTGTGTGTGTGTGTGTGTGTGTGTGTGTGTGTGTGTGTGTGTATGTGTGTGTAAAGCAACAATACTATCGCAGACAGAGTCAAGACATATACCGCCATCTGTTTTGATTATGTCATGTCTGTGAGAAAAACACCATACGGTGATGCAAATGAGGTGATTTGCATAATAAAACCCACAACAGAACAACATCCACTACAAAATATCCTTTGCATGACCTTTAAATTACCATCAATGTGAGAACATAAATCCTAAGTGATTAAATAAGCTTTCATATTGCCAATTGCATATCTAAGTTTTCTTTACACTCTTAAAAATAAAGGTGCTTTTTCTTACCTTTTTATAATCTGAAGAATCTTCTTTCGCCACAAAGAGCCTTTTATGAAACAGAAAGGTTCTTCAGATGTTAAAGGTTCTTTATGGAACCATTTAGACAAAAAGGTTCTTCTATGGCATCGTGAAGCACCTTTATTTTTAAGAGTGTAGTCTCCACAGGGAAATTGTAATCATGGAAAAAGTGCAGTAATGACAGACCATTTTCATTTTGTGATATGAAATGCACCTCTGGGAAGAACTATTACTTTATCTGCTATTATGATTGATATCATTAAATTAACTTTGAGCTCATCATTCAAATGTGAATACATTATAATATCATGGTGAGTGCGAGAGAGAGAGAGAGAGAGTGAGTGAAAGAGATTTTCAATTAAATCAATAAATGTCGTGTCAACAGCGCTGTGGCTCTGATATTTTGCTTGCTTTGGGGTGGATTTCTTGCAGTCTAAACACACTAGCCAAAAATTAAATATGACCTAAACCAGTAATTCTGTCTGTAATGCATAATTTGCTTTACAGCTAGTTGTTTAAGCCCACTGGATATTCATGTCTTTTCTAGAGGAAAAATATGAAAAATATATTTGTTTATTAATTTTGATACATTTTTCACACATGTCCTCATAAACCATATATACCTGTACACACACACACACACACAATCAAGTAATATCGATTTAATTCATTATAAATCAATTAATATTATATTTTAATAATAATCTGATTTTATTATGACATTTGATATTTTGTTGTATAATGTTATTATACAACAACATGATGATTTTATTAAGATATATGATTAATATAGGATATCCTAGATATAGGCCTATAGATATATTTAATATAGAAGATATTTAAACAGTATCAGACAATCCGTGCTGATCTCGAAAATATCACAAAATCTCGACGGGCGTGATATTGCTTTTACACAACAGTTCAATAAAGAATAAGCTCATATCAAGTAACTTAAATTTAGATAGGCCTACTATTACTCCGTCCATTTTGCTTCGCCAATTAAAATATTACCAAACGAAGTCACAGCAGAATCGACGTCCGATCGACAGAATCCCAGCAGCACATCAGGTGGTGGTGATTCATTCCTGATTGAATCAACGTATTTGAATGAATCGCTTGAGTAAATGATTCACCAACTCATTCATAGACGGTGCGTTCCAAATGGGATATATCGCCCTCCAAAGGGCACTTCGGAGTGAAAACAATCATAGCCACCATATTGAAGGGACGTTCCAAACCAAAGTGCTCAAAACTGGCCACTTCAAAGGGCCCTTCGGAATGAAGGATTTCGAAGGGTATGACTGATGGACACCTAGGGCTCCCATGATCCTTTGCGCAGATTCTTTGCATGATGACTGCGCCTCCGTGTGGGCACGTGATGATGACGCAGAAGGGCACTTCAAG